AAAACATTGACCCAAACAACATAAAAATACAGAAAGAACAAAGATACTAACCACACCACATGTACACATAAACACAAATCAAAATGACAGAAACAAACTCATGCATATCAGTAGTGTCATGGAATGTTAATGTACTAAGTTCACCAGTAAAGAGACAGGGGATAGCAGATTTGATAATAAAATAAGACACATCAATATACTGCATATAACAAACACACCTCAGATACTAGGATAAAAACTGACTATAAATTAAAGACTGGACAAAAGCATATAAAGTAAATGGCAACAACAAAAAAAAGCAGATGTGCCATATTACTATCTGAAAAAAATAGACTTCAAGGAAAACAACATGATTAGAGACAAAAAATGATAACTTATAGTCATTAAAGGAATAGGCCAAGAAGACATGACCATAGTGAACATATGTATGCACCCAATCAAAGATCCTTGAAATACATTGTTAGAATATTCACAGAATTGAAGAGAGAAATAGATAACCTAACAATAATAATGGAAGACTTCAACAAACCATGCTCAGGTAAAAACACATCAAGAAAGATAATCAAGAAAGAAACAGAAAATACCTAAAAACACACTCGCCCAACTTGACCTCCTGTACATATACAGTACAAAACATTGTTCCCAACAACACAGTACACACTCTTCTTCAGCGCACATAGAACATTCTCAAGAGTAGACCACACTGGGACACAAAGTAAGCTTTAACAAGTTCAAAGTAATTAAGATCTTATCTATTTTATCAGATCTATCACAACCCTATAAACCTAGAAATAAACCATAGAAGGCACAGAAACATAGAAATGAACATGAATATCCTTGAAACAAGTAGGCGATCAATAAGGGATGACATTTTTTTGAAAATTTTGAAACAAAGGACCACAAGAATACAAGATATCAAAACGTGTGAGCTACAACAAAAGTATAACACAGGTCAATTTATAGCAATCAAAGCACACATGAAAAGAGGAGAAATCCAAAATTAATACCTTAATACTCATAAAACACATTCAACAAGTGGAACAGAAGACCCTGGGAAGATGATGCTGAAATAAAGTCCCCTGTCTGGAACTCCCCTTGTGTGGCCCAGGGACTGGCAGGTGAGGATTCAGATGTGGTACCTGGATTCTCAGCATTCCAGGAACATTTTAGAAATCCCCCCCCCCGCAATTTTTCATGCCTGGAAGATGCAGCTATGCTCACTGCAGTCTCCTCTCTCTCCTAGCTCAGTGGGGTTAGTAGGGCACTGACTGCCAGTCTCCTCACCTCTCTACTCTGCTACTCTACTCTACTCTCTACTCTGCTCATCAGTTCCCCTCACCACCGGCTCTTTGACCCACTGGTACAGGGGACTATCTTGTGCTGAATTATCACCAAGTGGAGCCCCTGCCCCATGCCCTCAAGGACCCATCAGAGCCCTGGAGTCTAGCTCTCTCAGTAGCCAGTGAAATCGACCATTCATAGTTTCATTCCTCCCCTAAGTTCCTACAAGAACATAGCTCTAATTGCTGCCAGATATAAACTCCTTGGTTAACTTTCCTGGGGATCCTGTCCCCATTAAGCCAGAAACACAACTTGAACTTTCTGGGAGCTTCAAAAGTATCATAGATTTTTTTCCCCTATTTCCTTTCGAGGAGAAAAACAGAAAACTCCTTTTCCTACCAGAGGAACAAGAACTCAGTATTCCAGTGTTTCTCAGTGGCTCCCCATCCCCTATGTTTATGTCTTGCTGACACTGGGAATTACTGCCTTAGTAGGATCTCCTCATGATTGGAAGTCCCCCTATACTTTGGGCCTCCACTATAATAACCTATTGTCACCCTGTGACTCTGGTTTGAAAGGCCAGTGTGAAGTGCCGAGTGATGCAGAAATCCAATTCTGCTCCACAATACAACACAAGGCTTTCCTCCTTGGGAGCAAGGAAACTTTGTGCCACTGAAATAAGAGCCTTCAGCTATAAATATAATAATAGAACGGCTGCACTCTTCCTATATAAGTGACTCTGATAGATTTCTTAATATAGCCCTCACCTACCCTAACCTCAATATCACAGTCCCCTAACTTCAGTAAGATACAGTCTCTCATAACCTAAAAATTAACAACACACCTCTTATCCATTCTTCCAATTCCTCAAGCATAACTATATTTAACAGAAAGACTTCCTATGATTAATACCATCACTTAAAACCTACTCTCCAGATCCATCTCCTACTCTTCCTACCCACACAACTATCAATCCACCTCACTTCCACAAAATACAATTTCCAGTTCCTTTCTGATCCTCTGCCTCTAAAATAAAGAGGGAACCCCTCCTACACACAACCGAGAAGCCTATGCATCAGCTACACTTGGACCACCACACCCCATAAAGTGCAAGCAACAACCATCAGCAGCTACCACAAAAAATCAAAAGAAACAAAAGGAAACTACAGATTACCCAAACGCAATGGAATACACAGAAAAATAAGCACTTGAACTGCCAGAAAGAGAATAGAAGAGAATGATGTTTACAGCCATATAAAAGATCTAGGGATCAATCCAGAAAACAAAAGATGAAATGCAGGTACTAAAAACCTCATACCCAAATGAGATTCAGAAGTTAAGTAATTCATTAGCAGGGGGAAAAATCATGGTACAAAATGTGAGGCTGAGAATGGAAGAAAATAAAAATAAAATCAAAAGGCAAAAGAAAAAACTTTTTTAAAAAAACCAAGCAGATGTCAACAAATGACGAAAAAAAAAAAATCTGAAGATAGCCTGAAGATTACCACAGGGGAATTCCATGGCAAGAAAGAATGTTCGTGCAGGAAAAACAAGTGTACAGATAAAATAGTAAGGGAATTCTTGGAAGAAAATGTCCTCAATATCACTAAGGAGGAGAAGATAACCATCCATGAAGTAGAGAGAACACCCCCCTCCAAAAAAAACACATCAAGACATTCAGTATTCATATTATCCAACTTCAAGTAAAAGAGAGAATCCTGAGAGAAGTTAGAGAGAACGGGTGGCGGGGATGGCGCGGGGGAGGGGGGGAGTCCATACAAAGATAAACAGATAAGAATATGCACAGAACCTCTCTGGAAAAATCATGCAGGAAAGAAGAAATTGAAGCAACATGAGTTAATTAGTTTATTGTGCCTACCTGGCCGATAAACACATGTGGGATTAATTGAAAGGTGGAGGGATAAATGGCTTGGTGAGCCTCTCCTTTCGAGTTCTCCCGTCTCTTGCTTTGTGATGGTCGCACCAGGGTGCAGCTGCCTTAGCAGTTCCCTGCTTCAGCTTGCAAGCCTGACTTCCTGCAAGACATCCCCAAGGAGGAGCTACATGGACCTAACCCGATGCAGCCCTGGGTGCTGGAGCAGCCATGTGGAGACCACTGCCAGCACTGAGATGCTTACATATTCATTGATTCAGCTTTCCTCTTGCAGCTGGCATCATTGCCTCTGTTTTGTGAGATGGAGGAGTACTTTGAGGATTGGTGTTGGACATATGGGTTACTGGGTTAATGTTGGACTTGTGGGCTTGGGCAGCACAGGGTTGAGATGTTTTCTTGATGCACACTTAACCTTTATATAAAGCTCTCTCTATACATGAATTTCTGTGGATTTGTTTCTCTAACGTACCCAGACTGACACACAACATATTCCAAAAGTTGAAAGACAATATTTGCTATCCAAGAATCCTATATCCAGAAAGCTATCCAACAAATGTGATGGAGAAATTTTAAAAAAGTATTCTAAAACAAAGAACTATTTAGAAAATTTGTAAAAACAAAACCAGCATTATAAAAAATAGTATCCAGTTTTTATGGTCAGAAAACCAACAGTTGCAGCACTCAAACATGAGACCACTACAGTTTTAACAACACCCAGAAACCAACACACTGTAACCAATACCCAAAACAATACAGATCTAGCTAGAAAATGAAGCCTTGAATAAACTCTCCCAAGCAAACATACAAATCACCCCCAAAAAAGGGGGAGGAAGAGAAATATCAAGTACAAATTAAACGAGATGACCATGACTAATTCACATATAGATTTAATTAGATTGAACGTCAATGGACTAGGGGGAAATGGAAGAAGATGGTGTCTAGTTAGATTTACCTACCTGGATCTCCTGCGGCCAGACCAGAAAATTGGGAGGTAAGGTGAAGACTGGGAAGCAGAGTCCTAAATTTAGAATCAGGATACTAGGGTCTGTCCTGGATGCAACTTTTAAAAATTATCCCTCCCAAAGCAAACCGAGAATGCATTGAACACTCTCTAAGCTTGTTGGGCTGGGCTCTTGGGCTCCAGACAGGGAAGCTAACAGCCCTCTAGTTCAGCAGCGAATAGCAATTTCCCCAGGCTGATGTTCAAAAGGGGTCATAATCCCAGACTTGAGGAGAACCTCTGAAAGCTAGATAACAGGACCCACACCAGAGCTCCCCATGCTGTTAGCTGCCTTGCATTCATAACCTTAGGGGGCAGGGTTAGAGCCAGTAGCCATAGATTTGGAGCAATTGAAAAGACATCAGGAAATTTACCCGAGTCAGACTGCAGTGTGGCAGAGCAAAAGGAGGTACCCATAGCTCTGGGGGTGAATTCAGTTCCAGTTGGCCAAGAAGAAAACAAATTCTCTGATAAACTAGATCTCTTCCTCTGGGGGTCAACGTGACAGCCCCAAAATCAGGGTACCCCATAATCCCAATATAAAAAAGAGAAAAAAATACTTTCCTGGTAAAAACTGCAAATCCCAGGCTCATTGTTTAACTCCAAGACAAACTGGCAGAATGAGTCCCTTAACATACAATAGCATAAGGAAGACAATGCTAAGGAATGCCAGAAGTTAGCTACAGAGCCGAGGATTTCAACATGACAAAGACCCTCCTGAGACTCCTCCTCAGTTTCAGAATATCTCACTGAGCATATAGCCAGAGCCCAGAGCTAGGGACCAATTTAATTTAAATCAATTCCAGCTGGCAAGGGGAAAAACACAAAATACCCTCTAAGCTGTTGGGGCATCAGCGGTCTCGGCACAAGCTGGGGCAACTCCACAAGCTGAATGGAGGGAGCTACTGTCCCCTCTCAGTGATCCTACATGCAGCAAGAGAGGTCCTGCCTGTCCTCCGTGTGGCTGGGAGATGCCCTGCCTATCCTGGGGTACTACACATGGCTGAGGGAACACCCCCCCCACACACACACACACACACACTGCTACAGTGCTGCATATAGCACAAGGCAGCTATACCAGTGATCTCCAGTGATCAGCACCACTACAGGAATCGCTGCCTGACCTCTGCTGTGCTCTTGTCTTTGAGGATAATTCTGCCGCATCTGTGGGACCCTACACCAAGCAGGAACACCACCTTGCTACCTTGAGGCAGGGTTGGAATTCCTCCAGCCCCAAGATCAAGTGTTCATTCCTCAGCTATCTCCTTACTTACTATTCATTTCCTTCACTCTTTATTCTTTCTCCCTTCTATATTTCCCACCGCTGTCAGTCTCAGTGGGCTCAGGTCTGTTTTGGATTTTTTCCCCATTTTATTTCTTTTTTCTTCTTCTCTTCCTCTCTTTCCTTTCTTTTCCCACTGCTGGCTTCCGGGCAACTACCCTGTGCCTACAGCAATTCTGCCCAAACAGCAGGGGAAACTGCCCTCTGTGGGAGCGAGCACTGCACACCACACAAGGCAGCTGCAACAGCCCTCTACACCACTCCACGCTGCTGAGAAAACCGAGTTAGCCTCTAAGATGATCTTGCTGAATAGGGAAATTCTGCCCAGCACCAGTGGGACCTTACACCAAAAGGGCACACTAACCTGCCACCTGGGGGAAGGGTTTAAACCCCGCCAGTCACATCTTCAGTTGATCAGGATCAGCTATCTCTTTATTCTTTATTTCTCCTTTTCTCATTCTTCTCTCTTTTTACACCACATCTTAGCAAACACAGTTTTGTTTTTTCCTTTCTTTCTCTTTCTTTTCTTGTGGTTCTAATCTTGATTTTTCTTCTTTTATGTTTCCCTT